AAAAAAATTTCTGATAATCAATATTTATCTTTCGCATAGTTATTAGAAAATAAATGTTCATCTTATTCATTGTTATTAAATAGCATAAAATAACATAAATGTTTCTATTAAAGCTAATTAATACACCATGTAAAGGCTTTGTAACTTTGAATCAGAATACATATATATTATTTTCCTATAGATAATATTATCGCAAGATTTATTCTTATACAACCTATACGTATATAAATTTTATACCCAATATATCAACTAATAATAATAAACCAATAATAATAATAATAAACTAATATAATAAAGCAATATATAAACTTTTTAACTTAAAATATTTTGAAATTTAGCACAGTAATGTATATTGTCTTAATTCATAAAAACGTTATTTGTCTAACATGTATAGTCAATAGCCTATTCATTTACAATATCAAGTTTTATTCAATATCGTATATTGCCTTACTTAAATGGCATTGAATATTATATGAGAAACAGACTTTTTATTTCTCATCTTCGATATTTATTTTTCACATAGTTTTCAGAAAATAAATGTTAATTCTATTCATTGCTATTAAATAGCATAAAATAACAAATATGTCTCTAATAAAGCTAATTAATGCAAAGGCTTTGTAACTTTGTCATAATGCGTATAGATTATGAAACCCATTTTCCAGCTTGATACTTTAGCCGAAAGATATCGGATTATCGAGTATCTCAGAGCATTATGAAGCAGGAAAAGCCAAGTTATTGGATATCATTTACAGCATTTGAGCCATAAACCCATAATCTTAAAAGACACTTCATTATTGATATACATACTTTCTCGAAATTAAGATCGACCTCGATTAAAGATCCAAACCTGCCCCATAATGGTTCTTTTTGCTCAATAAAGTAAGTCGATCTCTCTCTCTCATACTTCGCCCAATGCTATCATTAAAGGCCTTGCTCTTTTCTGTATCATTACTAAGAGATAATTCATCAGGTTTCCGTTTTACCAAGTTTTCTGCGTGACTGGGCCGAATTCCTCTACCTCTTCCTCTGAGCCATGTGGGAAGCATTTACCAAAACGTCGATAAAATTCACCTGACAATTCTACTGCCGCTGTTTAACGATATCGGAGGAATTTACAGTCGCCATTAAAACTAAGGTTCCCTTCTTCTGAAGACAGAGAAAAGTTCCGAATTTTTAACTTCTCTCTCTCTCTCTTTCTCTGTCTTTCCCCCCTTGTTGATAGAGTTTTATCGGGTTTGGGATCTGGTAGGGATAGTTTTATGGGTCTGGCTAGTCGTTTGATTTCGGTCCAATCAGCAGTTTTAATGAGAATTTAAATGCATTGATGGGTTAAAAAGAAGGCCATTAGCTTTTATTCGAGTGAAGTAACATTAGAACATATGAACCGAAAACAGTTAGGGGGCTGGATTATAAGTTTATTTATATATGTGTGTATTTAATTCTGTATTTAATTTAGGAAACAGAATGCCAATTTTCAAATGCGAGTAATATTTAAAGCAATTAGATATGATTTATAAACTATTTTAATATAATTAAACTAAGAAGGAATTAGAGAAATAATAACATTACGTTAATAGGTGTTAATATGGATGTTATTGAGATTGAACAAAAAAAAATTATTGACATTTAAATATTTTTACATAATAGTAGTTTAGTAATAAAATAAGTACATATATATATATATATATGTGTGTGTGTGTGTGTAGGAATATAATTAAGTATAAGTATGTATATAAATAATTAAGTATAGTATTTAAATATTTTTGCAAAGATGAGTTAATGAATCACAGAGAACATATGAACACACTTAATCAAAACTTGTTTGATAAAATTTGATTTCCTTGATGTTCTTATGGAGTAAACTCACATCACTAAAAACGAAGTTTGGTTTGTTGCTTTACTGTCATTTGGTGCACACTTTAAGTGAATTAAATTGGGACCTACAGTTTAACGTGAATTTTGAACCACTAACAAACATCCAAGCAAACTCATGATTCGAACCTGAAGCTTGTGGTACTAAAGGCCAGAACGTCACGCAATTGGCTATCAGACAGCGCAGAAATGAATAAAAAAGTGCTTTTGTATCTGGTGTTTGAAAATAAATGGAAAAACGTGATTAAATTTTTTTCCAATATTTTAAAGATATTTTTAAGGATGGGGAATTGGGACTTTTTCATTTAGAAAGATAACAGCAAAAATTTCCAGTGATCATTCCCAATTAAAAAAAGATTATTTTTATACAATTATGCGAATTAGATAAAAGCTTTCCTTCCATTATTGTCATTAAAACGTAAATTTAATAATGTTTGTAACTAAACTTATATAATAGTTCAATCTATTTTAGTATTGGTTTTAATTTTGATTATAATTTAATTATTTTAATTATTTATATCTGTTAATTGTGTGTTTTGTTACATAATTGAGAGACCTGAAGATTAGAAATGTTCACCAATCTGAAGGTAAATTAAAGGTTTTTCTACTAAGTCATAGAAATTTTAGTCCTTTTTTTATTGATGTTGTTAAGATAATGAAAAACCTTTTGATGAATCCTTCTTGACATTGTTTGCTTGTTTTTGAATCTACCAAGAAAATTTATTCTTTTCCTTTATTATATTTATTTATTGATAATAAATGAATAATAATATAAATATAATAATATTGAATTATTATATTTATTTATTGATACCTCATCAGATGATTTTATGAATTTATTTCAACAGAATTTTATCAAGTTTATCTTCAAAAATATTAGCACAATATGATATCCAAATTAATAATATTTTCCAAAAATTAAATGCTTATACACCTATCATGATAAAAATGACAACATGATTTCCTAATAAGAATAAATATTTTTTTTCACGTTTGAATTATCTAGACACCAAAGCAGATTTATAAAATGCGGTAAATGATTTTTTAATCAATATTATGTGAAAATTAATTTTGAAAAGGACTAAATTTTAATAGTGGTTGTTTTTAAAATACACTTGCATCATGAGAAAAATAAGAAAGCAAACTATGAATATAAAGAAACCTCTTTCACGTCATTTCTATAAATATCAAAATTCTTTTAATATTAGTTATGAGTTAAGGATTAATAAACTTTTTAACAAATTTGGGGGTTCTTTTTTTAAATCATGATGGTTATTTATTTCTGTTATTTCTAAATAAACGAAGGATAAATATAGCTATCGTGCAAAAATGCAATTTTTTTCTAAAAATCAAAACCTCTTTATTTTTTTTATTTTTATCAAATAAACATTTACATTTTTTTAAAATGCCTTGAAGCTATCTGAAAACAAATCTTCATCAATGATAAAGAAGGTATTTTTTATAAATTATGTGTAAAACTAATATATATATATATATATGTATATATATATATGGTAAACAGACGAAGATTCGGTATTAAAATCAGATGTAATTTTTTCTAAATGAACGAACTAATATTTAAATTTAATAAAAAATATATTTACTAAATCGATTTTTTCTGTAGGAAATTACATGCATAAACCTTTTTTTCATTAAATTATGATGTTTAAACTTTCATTTAATGTTTTTTTGTTTGTTTGTTTGTTTTATACATATCATATAAACTCTTTGAATTTTGAGCTATATTATGATTTTTATTAAAAACATCATTTTTATATGATAGTTTTTCAAAAATAATTATGCAGTTTGTTAATTTTAATTCTCTTAATTGAGATTTTAGCAATAAAAAAATTAAAAATCAATTAAATTTTTTAATAAAAAATTCCCTCAATTTTTGGCAGAGTGAATAAATATAAAAGAAATTAAACGTTTTTTTAAAGTTTCAAAAAGAGTTAATTATAATTTTTTCCTCTTTTTCTTTTTTCTTTTTATAAAAAAACTACATAGTTGTGAAACTATAAAAACATTTTAAATGAAGGTAGTGATAAAATGTACTATAACATTGTACAATCCTTTTGAAAAAACTGATGAAGATTTTTTCCCCATTTAAAACATGATTCCTTAATGATCTAAAACTAAAAAAGATTGTGAAAAGACATGAACTATTGGACTCAGTTTGTTAGAGACAGGATTTTTTTATACTGTGCTTAGCAGTTAGGACGTCAATTAAATTTAAATATAATTTTTTTTTTCCTAACAGTAAATTTTAAACAACATAAATAATGTTTTATTTAATTATAATAATATATTTTGAATTTTAATTTAAAAAATCTTGAAGCTTTTTTTATGGCCGAGTGGATAGCGCTCTGGACCACGATACCATAAGTTTCGAGTTCGAGTCCCGACAGTGTCATGGATGTTTGTAGCGGTTCGGAATCCACTTTAAACAGTAGGTTCCTGTCTAACAGGATCGTAGAGCGTGGCGAAGGGTTAGTATTACTCGAGTCTGTAGCATATCTTCAAGTTACATGTGCCCGCTGCGTAGTGCTAAACGAATAACGTCGGTGCAGCCCTTGATTATGGCATAAAGATAACGATATAACTATTTGCCAGCTGCATTAGAAAAAAAAATTTTTTATTTGATTCCCGAATTTTTCTTCAAAACTTGTTAATGTTTTATAACAATTTAAAAAAATTACGAAATGTACACTTTGATTTCAAATTTCAAGTCTAAATTTTCGTATCATCATCCTGCTTTGTTAACTACACAACAATACAACTTAATAATTTTTGTTAACTACATAACAGCTACAACTCCAACAATACCAAAGTTCTGAAATATTCAAGTAACGAATGATTAAACTATCATGTATTTTAAATTACTGAAAAGAAATAATCTTCTGAATCTATTAGATGATAACGAAATATTAAAAGATGTAATGAATTTTAATTTTGACGATGGAGGGATGATTTTTGACCTGCGTTTTACTTTGCAAAAGAAGCATTTTTATTTTTACTAGAACTCTTACAACAATGTGGAACTGTCAGAAATTTCAAAAAGATGAAACGAAAGTGTGAAATTATAAATTTATAGTTGATTGTTCATATTTTTAAATATATGTATAGCCAACGGCCGTACCATGCTGAATCTACCGGTTCTCGTTAGATCACCGAAGTCAAGCATCATTGGGCGCGGTCCGTACTTGGGTGGGTGACCACCTGGGAACACCGCGTGCCGTTGGCAAATTTGGGACCTGAATGGCCGATTGGTCTAGCACTCTGGCGCTCGGTGCCACAGGTTTCGGGTTCGAATCCCGGCGGTGCCATGGATGTTTGTAGTGGTTCGGAATCCACTTTAAGCCGTAGGTCCCGGTCTCCTATGACTGTAAGAGCGTCACGGAACAAAAGTCAGGCTTCTACCTACGGGTGCTCCAATCACAACAGAAGCTGCTTCCTTCCCCTTCAATCATGAGTACGTATGGGCTCATGGGCTTGGCCAGCCAAGTGGGATAAGAAACAACAACAACAACAACAAACAAACAATATATGTATAAATTTTTGGAATTGTTAATTTCCAATAGAAGTCGCAAGCCCTGGTGTGATATCCCTGAATGGCCTTGAGAAAAATCGGTGGCATTGCTAGTGCTTTTCTGTGGTCACGATTGTCTCCGCAAGCACCTTCATATTAACCTGACTCCTGACCCCTGTCTCCTGTGTGATAACCACGAATAAATGGACATGTCTCTCCTTGCTCACCAATTGCACAGCCTCCTTTTTCTTTATGGAAGCGTTATTGGATTGCCAGACTTAAATGGATGGATTAACTGATGTCATGTGTTTCTATCTTGTTCTTTGTATTTTTTTTATTATGATATCTGTTGTCCTGTAAACTTGCCATTGGAAATAAAAACAAAATTTCCAAAAAACAAAATTGTGTTAATTTTTGATAACTGTGTAATTGAACAAAATTCTTTATCACATCTAATTTCGAAATGTAAATTTCCATTACATTATAGAAATTTATTCTTTTTCTATTGATAAATAAATTGAAATTCTTGCCTGTACATATTATAAAAGAAAATGATGTACATTGTCCATGCTGTAACTATAAAATGGTTTAAAATATTTAATAGTAATTCGCAATAGTAACATAGTAACATATATATATATATTTTTTTTTTGCTTTTATTTTTAGAAATTATTGACAAATTACTGTCATATCTCCATAGATGTTTCATTTCATATAAATTTGACAAATATTGCTGTTTGACCATTTATAAGCCATGAATTTCTTATGTACATATATATTGTAAAGTTCTGCTATAGTTGTATGATTTTTTGTTTTTATATCTACGTAATAATTAATAATTAATTCTTGGATAATTTATTTTGAAGAAAAAAAATGTTACACATAAAAATGCACAAAGTAATGAAGATAATAAAAATTTACCTATATCTTCATTTTCAAGATAGATTAAACATTATATATATAATTCATATATATATTGAAAAAGGAATTGAAGAATAGCCTCAGTATTATATTAATAACACTCAAATAAAAAAAAATCATTCATGTATCTCCACTTTCCTGTGTTGCACACGAGGATTGAAAGAATGAGCTAATATATTTTTTTTCCACTGCAAATTATCTTAGTTATTTACCAACTTTCCCCTTAAGTGGTTTTCTCTTGAACATTTCAATTACCCGAAATGGTTCCCACCAACGCATTGTTAAAATTTTCACTGCGCTTTAACAGCTCGTAAAGCTCCAAATCACGTTGCTTTGAACAGCGGAGATGTTAATTATGTAAACTGAAGTTACTGTGCACTGTGCCCTTTCCTTACATCTTTCAATTACGGGATTGCCCCGCTGCTTAACGGCGGCTCTGGCTAGCTCAGTAAGTGTTCTGTTTCCGAAATCGCTTTGTGATTCAGGAAAAGGGATATTTTTTTTACCGAACAATTGTTGTGAATCAGGCCATCAAGATTTTGCATTCAAGAAATTGTGGTTTTCTTAACATAAAGCAACAATCAAGAAGTGCTTTATTATCCACTGCCCCTTTATTTTAAAATGCTTTTGTGAATTTTCTCTGGTTGCTGAAAATGTTAATTAAGTTTTAATGATTTAAATATTCAAATGTACTAAATTAAGTACTAAAATATCTTGCACATGTTAACGCACTTGATTCAAAATATATCCTTGTTGTTTTAATTTTAACGCTTTCGCTTTTTTATTCTACATAATATTTTCAATTTATTAAATTAAATATACTAAATAATTGTTTGCCTCTCTTTTAATAGTGGTACCACAGGCTTCAGGCTCGAATCCTGGCGGTGGCAGGGATATTTGTGAGTGGTTTGGAACGCACGTTGAACTGTAGGTCCCGGTTTAATTAGCTCAAAGTATGCACAAAATGGCCATAGAGCGGCAGACCAAACCAAACTTTGTACATGTTATAAAAGAAAATTGTGTACATTGCCCGTGTTATAATTATAAAACGGCTTTAAATATTTATTAATAATTCGTAATATACAAAAATATATTTTGCATTTATTTTTAAACACTGTTGACAAACGTCCTTAGGTCCGCTATATACGTCATACGTTCTTAGAGTGTTAATTTCATATAAATTTGACAAACATTGCAGTTTAACCATTATTTATAAATTGTGGATTTATTATACAGTTTGTAAAGTTCTGCTATAGTTGTATTGATTTTTGTTTTTCTATATTTAATATATCTATTATCCTTGAATAATTTATTTTAAAGAAAAATTTTCACATAAAAATGTACAAAAAAATATATTCGTATCTTCATTTTCCAAGATGGATTAAATGGAATATATACTATATATGAATTATATATATATATAAATTTTAGGAATAAGTTTCGTATTATATTAATAACACTCAAATAAAAAAAATTCATGCATTAAATCTCCATTTTCATGTATTGCACACGTGGTATCGAAAGAATTATTCATTATGTTTTTTTCTAAAGTGAAGTATCTTAGTTATTTACCAACTTTCCCCTTAAGCGGTTCTCTCCCGAACATTTTAATTACCTGAAATGGTTCCCACCGGTGCATTGTTAAAATTTTAACCGCACTTCAACAGCTCGTAAAGCTCCAAATCACGTCACTTTGAACAGCAGAGAGTTTAATTATGCAAACTGAAGTTACTGTGCACTGTGTCCTTTCCTTACATCTTTCAATTTCAGGATTACCCCACTGCTTAACGGCGGCGTAAGTGTCCTGTTTCCGAAATCGCTTTGTGATTCAGGAAAAGGGATTTTTGTTTTTAACGAACAACTGTTGTGGATCTTGCCATCAAGATTTTCCATTCAGGAAATTGTGGTTTTCTTAACATGAATCAACAATCAAGAAGTGCTTTATTATCCACTGCCCCCTTATTTTAAACTGCTCTTGTGAATTTTCTCTGGTTGCCGAAACTGTTAGTCGCAACAAGTTGAGATTGTTGAAATATTCAAATATGAGACAAACCAAACCTTGTGCATATTAACAAAAAAAAGTATGTGCACTGTCCGTGTTATAACTATAAAACTGCTTTAAAAATTTAATAGTAATTCGTAATATACGATAAAAAAATTTCTTTTATTTTTAGAAAGTATTTGTTATCATATGTCATTAGATGTTTAATTTAATATAAATTTGGCAATCATTGCAGTTTGATCATTATTTATATGTCATAAATATAATATATGTATATTTTAAAGTTCTTCTATTGTTGTATTGATTTTTGGTTTTTTTTATTATTAGTCAAACTAACTAGTATAACGAATATATTCAATAAAATCTAAATGCATGCTGCCATCAACAATTTAGCATCATACAACTTTTGATAATAAAATTTATCATATTCTACATAATTAGCATAAAACTAAATTTGTGGTAATAAAACTGATTCCAACTCCAAATTTATTTTAAAGAAAGAAATGTTTCACATAAATATGTACAAAACAAAAAATATATTAAAACTTTATTTATAACTTCCATTTTTCAAGATAGGTTAAACATTAAATATATTTGATTTGGTTTGGTTTGTTTTATCGCCATAAGGTTATTTTTTACACACTTTAGGCTAATTTTATAGGGACCTACAGTTTTACGTATATATATTTGCAGAATAGGCTTAATGTTTTATTAATAACACAATAAAAAACTCATTTATGTATTTAATCTTCACTTTTCTGTGTTTACACACGTGGAATTGAAAGAATTACTTAATATATATTTTTTCTACTGTAAATTATCTGACATGTTTACCAACTTTCTCCTTAAGTGGTTCTCTCCTGAACATTTTAATTACCTGAAATGGTTCCCACCAACGCATTGTTAAAATTTTAACCGCGCTTTAACGGCTCGTAAAGCTCCAAATCACATCGCTTTGAACAGCAGAGAGTTTAATTATGTAAACTGAGGAACTGTGCATTGTGCCCTTTCTGTGCATCTTTCAATTTCAGGATCACCCCACTGCTTAACGGCGGCGTAAGTGTCCTGTTTCCGAAATCGCTTTGTGATTCAGGAAAAGGGATATTTGTTTTTACCGAACAACTCTTCTGCATCTTGCCATCAAGATTTTGCATTCAGGAAATTGTGGTTTTCTTAACATGAAGCAACAATCAAATAGTGCTTTATTATCCACTCCCCCTTATTTTAAAATGCTTTTGTGAATTTTCTCTGGTTGCTGAAAATGTTAGTAGCAACAAGTTTTAATGGTTGAAGTATTCAAATATATCAAATTAAGTACTAAATATCTCGTGCATATTTATGCATTTGATTCATTAAAATATTTTTGTCATTTTAATTTCGATTTTTTATTCTACATAATATTTTCGATTTGTAAAATTATATATACTAAATAATTGTTTACCTATCTTTTAATAGTGTTATCACAGGCTTTAGTTTCGAATCCTGGCAATGGAATGATTATTAGTGGATCGGAATCCACGTTAAACTGTAGGCTCTAGTCTAATTCGCCCAAATTGGGCGCAAAATGACCGTAGAGCGACAGACCGAACCAAACTTTGTACATATTACAAAAGAAAAAGATGTACACTGTCCGTGTTATAATTATAAAACGGCTTGAAAAATGTAGTAGTAATTCGTAATATATGAAAACATTTTTTTTTTTTTTGCTTTTATTTTTAGAAATTATTTACAGATTATTTTCATATGTCATTAGTTGTTTAATTTCATATAAATCTGGCAAATTTTACA